CTATGACTTTTAGATCTTTTCTTTTTAAACAAAGTTTTCCAGCTTGTTGGCCAGGTTTGCCATGCACCACAACAGTTGCCTCTTAGTATGATTAGGAATAGTACAGGCACTTTTCTTTTGTAGAAAAGAACAAAGGGATGCAGAAGAGTTTGGTTTTTCTCAGTTCAGGATGCATTACTCTCTTCCCCTTGACTGTTTCTTAGATCAAGTGTGATTTTGGCTTGCTAGCATGCACTAGCAAGAGAACTAGAAGTTTCTGCAATAGCACCTACTTGTGGAATAATACATATTATTTACTCAGTAGACTGGAACTTCTCTGTAAACTATGCTGATAATCACCGCTAAAGGTGTATACTTCTAAAATTTCATTGGGAAGTAATTACAAGTCATCTAGCATCATTTGCTATCTCAGCCAATTATTTTTTTCTTCAAAATGCCAGAAATGATTACGGCATAAAATCTATCAAATAGTTCTCTAGCATTATATCTCATTAAAAAAAGTCATTCTCAATTTGCATAAGTGCAGAATGGCTTGTTTTGCTATTGTCTAAATTAAAATTGACTGAAGCACCATTCAGAAATTTAGGCAAGTCCAACCACATCCTATCTAAGCAACTAATCTCCAGAGCACTTTGTGGCTGAATTCTATAACTCTTAATAATTTAGAGTCTGAAGGACAGGGCTCATTAGAGACTGAAAATGGCAGTACTAAAAAATATCCATTTAAAATTAACAATACTATTCAGTTTGGGAAGGAAGAGATGGGAGTGTCTGGATAAGCATAATAATAGTTTTTGTTATAGAAAGGTGCACTCACAGAGCGTTAATACACCAAATGCCATTAAAATTCAGCATGCATTAAACTTCTACTTTTATTCTGGTCTTCGCAGCGCCCCTTATATCTGGAACACCAGATATGGAAACAATGATGGTGAATTTAACTAGTGCAGGCCTAAACCAATGCACAAGTGTGTTTTCCCATTGATTTCATTGTTTCATTGACCAACAGATTGTCTTGCCAGTGCATACTCTGCATAGGCTACAAACCAAAAATGGCAGCCTTTGAAATGATAGTGTTCACTGCTAAATAAATGTACTGAATATACAAGCAAAAGTAGTGAAATAAAAGTAGTATGTAATATTACTAGCATTTGCCTGACACTATTTCTCTCATATCCATCAATGGGAGATGTAGTCAATGGGTGAGGAAAATCAGGATGCTGGTGAGATGCTATGTTCCAGTCACCCAAGTCTGACAGTTTTGGATTATGCACACAATTAACCCTTGGCTTCATCCTGTATTATTTCTATCCCAAAATATGTTGAAGTAGCTTTAAAAATATTGATGGGTGCAAAAGGTCCAATGAGCCAAATGCTACTCTCCAATGGAAACTGTGGGAAGCAATCATTTGAGTTATCTATACCATGGGTTAAAATTTCAGGCAGAACTTTGCACCTAGATTTAAAAAAAAATAAAAGCATAGATAGATAGATAGATAGATAGATAGATAGAACATCACAAGATGGCAAAAACCATACCTGTCTATATCATATTTTAGTGTGTTTAGTTGATTACAAGGACACTGTTAACAGTGTTATTCTTACTCAGCAACGAGATTGAAAAGGAAGAGAGCACACTGGTATTAGGTCAGGGTGCAAAGCTTTCCTGCAGGTCTGAGTCCCACCTGCACTTTCTGATTGGCTACGCTTGCTGTCGGAGTCATTGAGTGCACGGCAGGAGGATTTGGGAATGATTAATTGCCCTGTCTTGTGAGTGGAGAGTTCTGAGCAGCAGGGTTCTCCGTATATGTAAATACAAGTGGTCTCAGCGCTGTAACGGGACCAAATGAAATGAATAAAATGACTTAACAAAAGGACTTGACTTGGAATGTTTAGATTTTGAAGATTAGTTTCTATTATATCCCAGTGGGAGAAAAGAATATGTTGTATGGGAAACTGGATAGGCTTAATGTTCCACAAAACTGAATTATTCCACTTCCAAACCAATGTTTGGCTTAGACTACCAGTGGAATCAGTTCACAGTCAGAAAAAAACCCCCAAAGAACCAGATGCTTACGATGATTATAAAATATCTTTCTACTGATTCTACTTGTAGTTTATACAACTAGAATTGTACTATAAGGTCAAAAGCACTCCAAATTAAATTATGCTATGGTAAAAGCTCAATTTCCTCCTCATTATTTGCTCAATCTGAGTCAAATGTGCTTATCAACAGATCATTATGCAATGTTATACTGGGATGATAAAAAAAAAATCACATTTCTGTGTAGAAATCTAAGTGTGGAACCTCAATAAGTAAGGATCTGGCATATAAACTTCCGAAAGTATGAAGAACATCCATTTCCACTCTTTCAATGGAAGTTACATGAAATGCAAAGGATAGTCTCTCCCATTCCTTTTCCATAAACAATGATCCAGATTTTCTCCATTTCTGTATGTTTTATACATTCATTTTGAATCCATTTGATATAATAAAACATTTATGACACAAAAATCAATCTTTCTCAATATTTTCATCGCTTATATGTGTCTCAAGATCACATTTAATTTGCTATATGAAATATTCTTTCTACTTCTATGATAAAGGATGAGAACAGATGTTTTCAGAAAAGTCATTTTGGAGACTGGGTATTTCTGCAGTTTTGAAGAACATGCTGTCAAAGTGGTGTTTATAGAAGCAAACCATGAACTAGTGTGAAGAAAATCAAAGAATCATAGCATTTCAGAAAGAAAACACCTTCTGAACAACTTTTTACTCTTCCAGGTATTTTACTTTTGATATTACCAAGTGTCCTGTCCAAAGACTAGCAGTAATATATGCATATAGGAATAATCAAAAAAAAAAAGTTTTCTGTCTCTCGTGTGCTTTGAGAATAAATAAACTGTACAACTTTGAGACCTGAAATGAAATAAAAACCCCATGGTGACTGAAGTCTCAGAAAATCAGATAAATAAAAAGTGCCACTTAACTCTTATTGTCCCCAATAGCAGTAGTTGAAATTGCATTACAGACTGTGAAATAAAATAATACCACCCTGTAACAAGCTGGCAACATTTGTCTGAAACATCCCATCCAATTAATGGGCTCTGATCCTTTTAAGGTATGTTAAATGATTTCTGTTGACTTGCTGAATCAGGTGGTTCATTGCCTAACCCGGACGGAAGGGAGGTGGGAGTGTTTTTTTCAGGAGATGGAGGAAGAGGGCTGGGTTCTTCTAAAAGGGGAACCTAATAGCAACTAAAGTTGGGCACAATGTAAGCCGAACAGTAAGCTATTTTTTAAGTGAATCACCGCATGAAAACCATTGTGCTTCAGGTAGGAGGGCAAGTGTGTCTCCATATCCACTGACATTCCAATATTGGGGGTATTGTAAATTTGAGGAAAAAGGAAACCACAGTTTTTTCTAACTAGCCCTCTGTACTGGGAATTTTCACTGATTTCCTAAGCGACAGCGTAATGGGTTAAAAATGCATTCTTGTTTTTTTGCACCTTTTTACAAGTGCACCAGCACCCAGTAAATAAAGTAGCAGCCTGTGTCCCTTTTAGCAAAAGCCATATATCTGTTCAGACTTGTAATTTGCTCCGTTTATATCCTTTGCCCTTGAACTCTGGTTATTAACGCAATGTTTCTCCAAATGATGCCATATAACTCTGCTGCAAGCACATTCATAGTGACACCACACAAACAACCGAGGGGCCATATCTTGCTGGAGAAAAAAAAAAGGCAGGGGAGCAGAAGGGGTGGAAAGCAGCACAAGCTGAATTACATGAGAAGTAGAACATTACCCAGAAGGATACAAGCTATAGAGGAGTAAATATTACCATACTGAAACCTGTATTTGAAACCACACCTATGGGGTGACCAATTGTCCTGAAAGACTCCTCAATAATATTCTTAAGCAGCAAGTCACTTAAATTCAAAATGTGCTTCTTTGCTATTAAAAGAGATGCCATGTAGTGTGCTTCCACACAATGCTTTCTGCTGTCACGCTGGTGAAATCTACCACTCATGACTCTAAAACTATTGATCATGATAAAGGCTCGCAGCATGCTGGCTGAAAACAGAAATGACTCTAGAGGTTGGGGAAAAAAAAAAGAAAGGGATACAGTGAGTTAAAAAAGAGATTTCAGGAGAATCAACAGTTGAGTAGGATAAAGATGAACTATTCAAATGCTCTAGCAAAAACAGATTCTCTGTAGAAACACAATATAGGCCTGCTCCGGGGCAATTATTGACATGTAAAGATATCTGTGCTGGAAGTCTTCATGGATCCTGTACAAAAGCAGTTCTCCTACTTGGCTGTTCTTTCCCCCTTCACAATGTAATGTGTAACCATGAAAACCTCTGCTGCAAAGAGTGAGCTTGGATGCATCTTAATGTTTTGAACTTTTACAGATGAAAAGCTTGCGACTCTGGAAACCCACTTTGTAAGGGTCTTTATTAGATATTAAGATGTTACAACTTCAGCTAAGAATCTATTGGTCTATATTTTTCTTCCTTTCTTCTGTTTTTGTGGCAGGCTGCAGGGCAAACAGGCCTGTGGACATGGATGTAGCAGAGCACGGTTCTCTTCTCTTGCGAGGCACCTCACATAAAGCTAGTGGCAGTCGCATGCTTCCACATTCATCTACGCTCTGCCCTATCTATTTAGATTGCAAGGTCTTCAGACAAGGATCGCTGAGTGTGTGCCACTCCGAGCACAGCTGGGCCTGCAGACTGGCTTGGATCTGTAATACAAACAGCAAATAAGGATGAATGGCATTTATAAACCAAAGTAAATAAGCTCTTAGAAATATCACGTGCAGCTAGAGTGCAGTTGTTTCCATGCTTATTACAATACCACTGGTCAATCAAACCAGTGGTTACCAACCTTTTTGCCCAGTGGGCTGTATGAGTAATGCCCAGTCCGTTTGCAGGCCAGATCTGGCCTGTGCTTCCAATCTGGCACCTGGGGCAGGTGCAGCGTGCACCATCCAGCCACAGGAAGGGGTGCAGGGGCAGGTTGGCCCCATCCCAGCCCTACAGTGGAAAGGAGCTTGACCCAGCCCTGTGGGGAGGTAAGAGGGATCCAGAAGAAAGGGGGAGAGGACATGGATCAGTCCCAAAGGGGACGGGGGCACACACAGGATTTGCAAATTTGGCAGCGGGGGAGAGCGTCTGTATTAATGCCCACTGGTCCCCCACTCCCAAATTTCTTGACATATGGGTTTCCCCATAAGCCAAATGAGAGCACTCTGTGGGCCAGAGGTTGAGCACCCCTGTATTAAACCATCACTTTTTGTTGGTATCTTTCTCTAACTTAGGTTTGTCTGTACTCAGAAGGCAGCATGGAAAGCATGAGTCTTCATTGCTCCTGCCATGATATTCTGATTAATAATTACAATAAACAAATACATAGTTTTCTTTTGGGTTTTTTTTAAAAAGCAGACTCAAACTTTGTCCCTAAGAAAATTATGTGTATTTGTACACAACTGAAACTTGTCATATTTGGTGCCTACTTGCTCCTAACCTAGAAGCAGTGACTACAGCCACATTAGGAGAGTACTGACTCTGTGCCAGGATGCTCTGTGTTTTAGCAAGGACAAGCGTTTCAAGATGACACTCCCTTCAGCCAAAAGGAGCCTACATTAAGTCAGTGGCAACATTTCCATTGGCTTCCATGAGAATAGATTTGACTCTAGGAAGAGCAGATGAAGGAGTCAAATAAGGCACAGGCCAAACTCCTTGAGAAAGTCAGTGTGACCATGGGAGTCAAAGCACACTGTTAAAGAATCAAAACCCCTCCAAATTTAGCGGGAAAAAAAGAAATTTCACAAGGAAATAAAATAATTTGTTCTTTCCATTTACTTATTTTCCAGTGAAGTCCAGATAAGCTGCAGATGGGCACCTAAAACAGTGTTGCTCAACCCATTCAGTCCCAAGGGCCAGATAAGTGGCAAGGGCCAGTCCATGGGCTGGATCCAGAATCGGGTGAACAAGTGGGGTCACATTATCCAGCCACCAGAGCTCCCACAGGTCCTGAAATTTGGCAGCATGGGAATTGTGGCAGAATTAATTGCTGTCAAAGCCATGGCAATTAACACATGTTGGGACCTGCGGGAAGACCCACAAGCTGGATGACACACAGATCTACAGGCCAGGTCTGGCCCACAAGTGAAGCTGGCCACCACTGGTCCAAACTGTTGGACGCTACATAAATAGAAATGAAACACCAAGTTGCTTGAGATTCTCTTTCCCTGCATCTGATGTTTAATTTCATGACGCTGGACTTATTGCTATTATAGTGCATCAGACCTCATGCAGTCTAGCAGGTCCTCTGCATTTCCAGCTAAAAACTAAAGTATTGACCACTTTTTCCCCCCCCATTTAGAAATCAGTCATTCTTCCACTGAGCTAAACTAATCTCTTATTCCTTACAACTACAAGAAGTCTACACAGAACTGGATATGATTTAGGAAGCAGTGGCATGGTAAGAATTTCCTTATGGTAAGGATACTCAATGACTTGAGTGTACTCTATCTTTCGGCAAGAGCTAACATAGGGTTAAGTCTGAAAACTAACAATCTGCCAATATTCATAGGATTCTTAAGGGAGCTTGACTGTATTTGCACCCTTTCTGTCTCTATCAAATAAATG